CGCTGCCAGCAAGGTCCAAATAGCTGATGCAACCTAAAGTATGTTTTAAATAACGATAGTCTTTAATATTAGAAAATCAAAGCAAATCAAGTTTACTCTTGAAAGTTTTGTATTAGTAAAAAATGAGAATACAGAAATTTTCTCTACAATTACGGCTAAAATCTTGTCTTTCCTACATATACTCCATATTTATATCTTTCAGAGACAATAGAATAAAATAAAATGAAAATAAAAATAGAGTAATTACAGTAGGAAATTATGCTAGTCTAAAGAGACACAAATGGACTGAATTTCTCACGTCTCCTCCAGACCCTTGAATCAGTCTTCATTTAAAATTCTAACTGCTCTTCACAAACTGCTACCCCTTCCAGCAGAAATTACCTACAGCAGACATCCTTCTTACGGCCCTAGTAGAAATTGGAGTTCTCCCAAAAAGATTTGTGAATCCTAGAGCGAGGAACAATTCAACCACCACCAGCCTCTCCAACAAAATCTAAATGATCTAACTCCTGCCACTTAAATTACTTTATCAAATACACAAACTGCCTATACTGAAATCTATTTGTTGTTGTTGTTGTTATGTACTATCAAGTCAGAACTGACCTATAGCTCACCCTCTAGTTGGCTTTTGGAGGCAGTAGGCAGAATATTAAATGATCCAGGAAGTATTAAAAGAAGACAGAAAGAATATACTGAGTCACTGTATCAAAAGGAACTGGCAGACACAGAAGAATTTAATGAAATCACATATGAGCAAGAGCCTACGGTGATGAAGGAAGAAGTTCAAGCTGCTTTGAAGGAAATAGCAAAAAATAAGGCCCCAGGGATAGATGGTATACCAATTGACATATTTCAGCTAACAGATGCTGCCCTGGACATGCTTACCAAGCTGTGCCAAGAAATCTGGAGAACAACCACCTGGCCAACTGACTGGAAGAGATCTATATTTGTTCCCATCCCAAAGAAGGGTGATCCAACAGAGTGTGGAAACTATAGAACAATATCATTGATTTCACACGCAAGCATATTCTGCTGAAGATTATCCAAAAATGACTGGAACAGCACATCAGCAGAGAACTACCAGAAGTCCAGTCTGGGCTTAGAAGGGGTCGTGGTACTAGGGATATTGTAGCTGATGTTAGATGGATCTTGGCTGAAAGCAGGGAATACCAGAGGAATGTCTATCTGTGTTTCACTGATTATGCAAAGGTATTTGACTGTGTGGATCATAACAAACTGTGGCTGACTGTGAGAAAAATAGGAATCCCAGAACACTTGATTGTTCTAATGAGAAACCTATACTTGGACCACGAGGCAGTCATCAGAACAGAGCAAGGAAACACAGCATGGTTCAAAATTGCTAATGGCTTATGCCAGGGAGGGATGTGTCCTATCTCCATACCTTTTCAACCTGTATGCAGAGCAGATTATCCAAGAGGCTGGGCTCTATGAGGAGAAGTGTGGTGTAAGGAATGGTGGAAGATCTATTAACAATCTGCATTATGCAGTTGACACAACCCTGCTTGCTGAAACTGAGGAGGACCTGAAATACTTGCTGCAGAGGGTCAAGAAATGGAGTCTTCAGTCTGGATTGAAGCTCAATGTCAAGAAGACAAAGATTCTCACCACTGGACCAATTGGCAGCATCAGGATGGATGGCGAAGAGATTGTTCACAGTTTCAGTTTGCTTGGCTCCACGGTCAACAATCTTGGCACCAGCAGCCAGGAAATAAACAAATGTATTGCAATGGGAAAGTCTGCTGTTAGGGATCTCTCTAAAGTACTCAAGAGCAACAGTGATTCTCTGGAGACTAAGGTGCATCTGATACAGGCTATGGTCTTTGCAATCACTTGTTATGCACCAGAGTGTTGGATAATAACTAAGGAGGATCGAAGGAGAATTGATGCCTTTGAGCTGTGGTGCTAGAGAAGAGTATTGAATGTACCATGGACTGCCAAGAAAACAAACAGATTCATCCTGGAGAGGGTTAAACTAGGCTGCTCCTTGGAGGCAAGGATTCTGAGGCTTTATCTGACATACTGTGGACATCTTTTAAGAAGGGACCGGTCCTTGGAGAGGGACATCATGCTTGGGAGAGTGGAGGGATGGCACACAAAGGAAAGACCCTCTATGAGGTGGATTGATTCAGTGACTGGAGTAATCGGGATGGGTGTGTCAGAGGCAGTGCGATTGGCACAAGATAAAGCGGGGTTTACGGCTGTTGTACATAGGGTCGCTATGAGTCGCAAGCGACTCGATGGCACATAACAACAACAGGAACAATCACATGGGAGGAGATTGCATATCCTTCTCCTCCGGAGCAGCTCTTAGACTCGAACCATATGCCTTTGGGATTGTAGCACTGCTTCTTGAAACTAGGCCACCATTTATACTATAAAAATCTATTAAAAACACACAAACACAAAAACAAAAAAAATAAAAGAGGAAGATAGAGGGGTTAAGATAACCAAGGCAGAAGTTGCCTAGATTAAAAGAATGTAAAGAAGAGAAATAGATGATTTCTACTAACTTTTGCAGTTAGGCATTGATTGAACATGCAATCAAGATGCATTAAAAATAATGAATGGATGGAATGCAAAAGTTGGGAACCATAAAGAAGGAACAATAGTAGGAAAACATGGACACAGTGACAGAAATGAGGCTGGGGAAAGAATGATAGAATTCTGCACAATCATTTATTCATTGCAAATACCTTTTATAAGAAACAAACACATGCTATGCACATGAATTTCAACTGATGGTATGTGCAGGAATCAGATCAATTACATCTGTTGTAGGAATCATTGGAGAAGTTAAATATCAGCAGTAATAACTAGGCCAGGTGCTGATTGTGGAGTGTAGCATCAACTACTCGTATGCAAGTTCAAATAAAATCTAAAGAAGGTCAAATCAAATCCACAGATATTAAAATCTATCCCCCAACTGAGGTACAGGTTTGAGGCCTTGAACACTAATGAACAAATACCAGGTGACCTGTCGGAAGATATCAAGAATATCACTCATGGAATGCAGAAGATCATTACAAAGATAGAGGAAGAAGGAAAATCCAAAATAGATGTTAGAAGAGGCTCTAAATATTACACTAGAGTGCCAAAAAGCCAAAGGAAAGGAAAGAAATCAACAAGTTAATAAACTCAAGAAAAGATTTCAAAGGGCAGCTTCAGAAGACAAAGCAAAGCATTATAATGAAATGTGCAAATGCTGGAGTCAGAAAATCAGAAAGGCCAAACTCGCCTGGAATTTCTTAAGCAGAAGGAACTAAAGAACAAATTCAAGCCACAAGTTGCAATATTTAAGAATGCTATGGGCAGAATATAGAAACATTAAAAGAAAACGGAAGTAGTATACAGAGACACTGTATCAAAATAATTGGCCTGCGCAGAAGGATTTAAAGAAATAACATGTGATCAAGAGGCAACGGGGATGAAGAAGAAGTTCAGGCTGTTCTGAAAGAATAAAGTTCCAGGAATTGAGGAAGTAATGACTGACATATTTTAACAAACAGATGCTGCTCTGAATGTGCTTACCAGGTTGTGCCAAGAAATCTGGAGGACAATTACCTAGCCAACTGACAGGAAAAGATCCATATTTACTCTCATTCAAAAAAACAGGTGACCTGACAGAGTGCAAAAATTACTGAACAAAATCACTTATATCATTGTTGCTGTTGTTATGTGCCATAGAGTCGCTTGCGACTCATAGCGACCCTATGTACAACAGCCCTAAACTCCGCTCAGTCCTGTGCCAGTCGCACTGTCTCTGACACTCCCATCCCAGTTATCCCAGTCACTGAATCAATCCACCTCATAGAGGGCCTTCCTCTCCTGCGCTGTCCCTCCACCCTCCCAAGCATGATGTGCCTCTCCAAGGACCGGTCTCTCCTCACAACATGTCCAAAGTATGTTAGACGGAGCTTCCTCCAAGGAGCCACCCGGTTTAACCCTTTCCAGGTCAAATCTGTTTGTTTTCCTAGCAGTCCATGGTATTCTCAATACTCTTCTCCAGCACCACAGCTCAAAGGCATCAATTCTCCTTCTATCCTCCTTGGTCATTGTCCAACTCTCTGATGCATAACAAGTGATTGCAAAGACCATAGCCTGTATCAGACGCTCCTTAGTCTCCAGAGAGACACCATTGCTTTTCAGTACTTTGGAGAGGTCCCTAACAGCAGACTTTCCCATGGCAATGCGCCTTTTAATTTCCTGGCTGCTGATGCCAAGATTGTTGACTGCAGAGCCAAGCAAACTAAAGCTGTGTACAGTCTCAATCTCTTCACCATCCATCCTGATGCTGCCAATTGGTCCAGTGGTGAGAATCTTTGTCTTCTTGACATTGAGCCTCAATCCATATTGGAGGATGCAGTCCTTGACACTCTGCAGCAGGCACTTCAGGTCCTCTTCAGTTTCAGCAAGCAGGGTTGTGTCATCCGCATAACGCAGGTTGTTGATAAATCGTCCACCAATCCTGACCCCACATTTCTCCTCATAGAGCCCAGCCTCCCGGATAATCTGTTCTGCATATAAGTTGAAAAGGTATGGAGATAAGATGCATCCCTGGCATACGCCCTTCCCAATTTTAAACCATGCAGTGTTCCCTTGCTCTGTTCTGACAACTGCCTCCTGGTCCAAGTATAAGTTTCGCATTAGAACGATCAAGTGTTCTGGGATTCCCATTCTTCTCAGAGTCAGCCACAGTTTGTTATGATCCACACAGTCAAATGCCTTTGCATAGTCAATGAAACACAGCTAGACGTTCCTCTGGTATTCCCTGCTTTCAGCCAAGATCCATCTAACATCAGCAACAATATCTCTAGTACTACGACCCCTTCTAAAGCCAGCCTGGACTTCTGGTAGGTCTCTGTTGATGTGCTGTTCCAGTCATTTTTGGATAATCTTCAGTAAAATCTTCCTTGCATGTGAAATCAGTGAGATTGTTCTGTATCATATGCAAGCAAAATCCTGCTGTAGATTATCCAAAAATGATTGAGCAGGACGATGACAGGGAACTGTCAGAAATACAAACTGGGTTTAAAAAAGATCGTGGCACTGTTACAGACATTATCATCAGTGTTAGATGGATCTTGGCAAAACACAGAGAATATAAGAGGAATGTCTATCTGTGTTTCATTGACTATGGAAAGGCATTTTACTTCATGGATCAGAACAAATTGTGGCTAACCTTGAGGAAAATGAGAATCTCAAAATACTTGTTTCTGTTTATGTGAGACCTATACTTGCACCAGGAAGCAGTCCTCAGAACAGAGCAAGAAAACACTGCATGTTCAAAATCAGGAAGAGGCATCAGAGATGTGCCTTGTCTCCATACATTTTCAATCTATATGAAGAACAGATCATTTGGGAGCCTAGGCTTTATGAGGAGGAAAGTGGCATCAGGATTGGAGGAAGACTGAATACAAAACATTATTCAGATGACACAACTTTGCTTGCTGAAACTGAGGAGGACATGAAGTGCTTGCTGCAGAAGATCAAGGACTATAGTCTTCAATAAGGATTGAAGCTCTACATAAAAAAGACAAAAATTCTCATCACTGGGTCAATTGGCAGAACCATATTAGATGGCAAAGAGTTTGAGATGGTTTGCAATTACAGCTTGCTCTGCTCTACAATTTACACTCTTGGCACCAGCAGTCAGGAAATCAAAAGACAAACTGCATTTGGTAAATCTGCTGTCAAGGACCTTTCCAGACTGCTGAGAAGCAATGATGTCTGTCTAGACACTAAGGTGCTCCTGATCCAGGCCATGGTCTTTGCAATTACGGCTGTGCATCAGAGAGTTGGACAATGACTATGACTGAAGAAGATTTTATTTATTTGAGTCGTGGTGCTGGAGAAGAGTCTTGAACATACCATGGACTGCCAAGAAAGCAAATAGGTTTGTCTTGGAGAGGTCGAAAACAAGTTTCACTTGGAAGCTACAATTTTGAAGCTTCCTTTTAACATTCTTTGGGTGTGTGGCCAGAATGGACTGGTCCTTGTTAAGGACATCATGCTCAGAAGGGTGGAAGGACAGTGGAGGAGAGGAAGACTGGATGAGACGGACTGATACAGTAACTGGGATAACTGGGGTAGGTGAGACTGGCTCATGATAAGGCAGATTTCAGAGCTGTTTTACATAGCGGTACTTAAAGGTGCACAGAAACAACAATCTAAAGAATGTAGTCAGGACAAAAGGATACTCTGTTTTCTGGATATATGTGTACTTATACAACCTTAATTCTCTCACTGATGCTATTTTCTTTTATGGATGTGGTTATATAAACAGGAAGAGTCAGAAAATAAGATAAGAAACAGTAAGAACATCTTATCTTGTAATTCTAGTCAACAAGCTTTCCACTTGTAAAACTTCTCAAAAAACTTAGAAGAACCACAGTTTGAAAGGACATTCATCCCTCAGTTCCTTTCTCCTTATCTGTTGACAAAGTGAAGTCTTGAATACTTCATTCCCTTGCTGAGCATCAGTATTTCAATTACTTACCAAATAAATAACTATTTTTATCAGGACAACTCTTCAAACACATGTCAAATAAGAAGGGAGTTTTGTCCACCTTAAGGTGGGCATATCAAAGATAAACAATATGCATATGATGAGACTAAAGAGAAAAGAGCTCAATAAAGCACTAGTTCTAGAGATGTTAAATCATCCAGGCTTGCACATCCTGCAATTAACACAGTAAATAAACACTTGTTATTGTGGGTTTTTATCTTGATAGCTCCTTGGAGGAAGTTGGCCTTTAAGTCTGGACTCATGACCTAGAATTGAAGAGTGACCGAAATGTTATAGAAGACTGAAAATTTTGCTTCAAGTAGATACTAATATTTGAAGACATGGGTAAATAAACCTTAAGTGTATTATATCTGGTCAGGTTATTGTTCGATAAAATTTTGTCCAATAGTTTCATCATTTTGTTGGATCACCTTTCTTTGGAATGAAAATAAATAAGGACTTCTTCGAATCCATTAGCCAGAGAGTTGTCCTCCAAATTTCTTTTCATAGACTGGTGAAGGTATCCAGGGTTGTGTCTGTTAATTGTAACATGTTGGCTGGTATCCCATCAATTCCTGGGGCTTCATTTTTTTTTTTCTTTCTCAATGCCTGAAGTGCAGCTTCAACGTCTTCCTTCATTGCCATTGGCTGCTGCATTTATCATAGTTCCTGAATTTCTTCAGTGTTAGTCAGTTCATTTTGATACAGTGGATGTGTATTCCCTCCATTTTTAAATGTTTTTTTTATGCTTCCTGGGTCATTAAATATATTGCTTAGAGCATCTTTCAATACTGCGACTCAAGACTTAAATTTATTTTTCAGTTCTCTCAGATTGAGAAATGCTGAAAGAGTTCTTCCCTTTATGTTGCAGACTGAGGGCAAAGTATTTATATAATTATTAATAAGCCAGCGAGAAATGAGATAAGAGAGAGAGGAAATGGGGGTGGGGGTGTGAGGGAGCATTCCTGATGATGGACTGAAGCACCTATGCCATGCCTCTCTGTGTGTTTATTGAGAATCATATTGTTGTTGTTATGTGTTGTCGAGTCACTTGCTATTCATAGCGATCCTGTGTACAACAGCCCTAAATTCTGCTCTGTCCTGTAACAATCACACTGTCTCCACCACACCCATCCCTATTACCCCAGTCACTGAATCAATCCACCTCACAGAGGGCCTTCCCCTCCTGCCTTGGCCCTCCACCCTCCCAAGCATTATGTCCCTCTCCAAGGACCTGTCCCTCCTTACAGCATGTCCAAAGTATGTTAGAGGAAGTCTCAGAATCCTTGACACTGAGAAGAATGGGAATCCCAGAACATTTAATTGTGCTAATGCGAAACCTATACTTGGACCAAGAGGCAGTAGTCAGAACAGAGCAGGGTAACACTGCATGGTTCAAAATTGGGAAGGGTGTACGCCAGGGATGCATCCTGTCTCCATACCTTTTCAACATGTATGCAGAGCAGATTATCCGAGAGGCTGGGCTCTATGAGGAGAATTGTTGGCATCATGATTGGTGGAAGATCTATTAACAATCTGCGTTATGCAGATGACACAACCCTGCTTGCTGAAACTGAGGAGGACCTCATACACTTGCTGCGGAGGGTCAAGGACTCCAGCCTTCAGTATGGACTGAGGCTCAATGTCAAGAAGACAAAGATTCTCACCACTGGACCTATTGGCAGGGTCAGGATGGATGGCGAAGAGATTGAGATTGTTCACAGCTTCAGTTTGCTCGGCTCCACAGTCAACACTCTTGGCACCAGCAGCCAGGAAATAAAAAAACATATTGTGATGGGAAAGTCTGCTGTCAGGGACCTCTCTAAAGTACTCAAGAGCAACGGTGTCTCCCTGGAGACCAAGGTGTGCCTGATACAGGCCATGGTCTTTGCAATCACTTGTTATGCATCAGAGAGTTGGACAATGACTAGGGAGGACAGAAGGACAATTGATGCCTTTGAGCTGTGGTGCTGGAGAAGAGTATTGAATGTACCATGGACTGCTAAGAAAACAGATTCATCCTAGAGAGGATTAAACCAAGCTACTCCTTGGAGGCAAGGATTCTGGGGCTTCGTCTGACATACTTTGGGCATGTTGCAAGGAGAAACAGATCCTTGGAGAGGGACATCATGCTTGGGAGGGTGGAGGGTCGGCGCAAGAGGGGAGTCTCTATGAGATGGATTGAGTCAGTGACTTGAGTAATTGGGATGGGTGTGTCAGAGGCAGTGCAATTGGCACAGGATAGAGCAGGGTTTAGGTCTGTTGTACATACAGTCGCTATGACTCGTAAACGAACTCTACGACACATAACAACACAACATGTCTTTGTAATGCCATTATGCTCTCTTCATGGATAATATTGTTGATACCATCCATACAACTCATCTGGTCTTTGATTGTTGGTATTCAGTACTTCAAACTTATTCTTAAAATGATTTTGAAATTCAGAAGAAATAGATTCAAGATCATATATTGTTCTTATGTACTTGTTTTCATTTTTGTTTGCCTCAATTTGAATTTGTATATGAGTAATTAATTGATGGCCACAACCATAGTCTGCCTCTGGCTTTGTTTTGCCTGCTGATCTGGAGATTCTCCAATTATTCCTTTCATAGATGCAGTCAATCTGATTTCTCTGTAGCCCATCAGGTGAGGTCCAAGTGTAAAGTTGCTGTTTGTATTTTTTAAAAAAGATACTTGTTATTAATACATCAATAAAAAATCCAAAATTAATAATTTTATTTTAGCCTCATTTCTGTTACTGAGCACATATTTTCTGATTACAAATCCTTGTTCGTTGTTTCAAAATTTTGCATTTCAGTCACAAATTATCATGAAAGTATCTTGATTGCATGTCTGTCAATTTCGGAATGCAAATTTGGTATAAATTTTCAATTTCTTCCTCTTTGGCTTTAGATGTAGAAGCATATAATTGAATGATAGTTGTATAAACAGATCATACTTTTATGCATATGGATAATATTTTTTCACTCACAACATTGTCTTTTGACTAGGACTGCAACACCATTCTTCTTCTTCTTTTTTTTTTTTTTACCATTCTTCTTCTGTTTTTCCTTCCCAGCCTAGTGATTATATTCCTAGCATGCCATTATATGACTCAAAGTGGCCAAAGCTATTCCATTTCATCTCACTAATGTCTAGAACATCAATGTTTATGCATTCTATTTCATCTCTCTTAGTTTCTAATTATCCAACATTCGAGCTTTGTACATTCCATGTTTCAGTTATTAAGTGATAGTTGCCATTATTGTTCCTCATTTCAACTAGCTTCCAATTTGGGCTCTACAACTACTACTGTAACTATCCACGTTCTTCTACTATTCAATAGAGTTTTCAGAGACCTATTATTTAAGAAGCGAATGGCCACCTCTGCTCCCTAGTCTACCATCATCTGAGAACTCTACTAAAACCTTTCTACCATGGATAAATTTTATTTCATTTGACACATTAGTGGCATAGCATTCAGTATTGCAACAACTCATAAGTTATCTTAGTACAGCAAACTACCAAAAAAGTACTATAGCAACTAGAATCATGTTCACT